AAATGAGAAGTATGGACTGGACAGCTTTGAAAAGGAAGATCCAGTGCTGAAGGATGATGGAGGAGGAGGAGGAGGAGAAGGAGAAGGAGAAGAAGAAGAAGAAGAAACAGCAGCAGCAATAGGTAAATGCATTACCTGATGGGGAAAATGGCAGCCAAATATAGCTAGAACTACAGCAATTGCCTCTTATAGTCATACATAAACATGGTGTTATAATTGTTTATCTGAAACTTTATTTGCTTACTTTGTGTGCTGCCCATTCTTGAAGTCACTCCTTCCATTGTAGATATCACAAGTTGGATGAGACTTAGGTTTTACTTGGTCTTATCCCATGACTTAGCAGCAACACATTTAAGTGAAGCAGTCACAAATAGCCCAGAAATTTAACCAGGATTATTTGTACTTCTAAGTGTACAAATAGAACAGCTGTTAGGAGGAATGGGGCCAGGATTCAAGCATCAGACTGAGAGGATTGCTCCAATGCACCAGTCATTTACTCACTGAGCATATTGCCTGGTCTCTGTGTGATATACACTGAAATGGATGACTGGATGCAGAACTTTATAGAAGTATCCAGCCTTGCATCTGATAATCTAAATGAAATATTTGTCCACCTGATGGTAACTCGTGTTATAAAATTACATTTGTTTGAATCACCATAACTGATGGAAATTACAGAATACTAGCATGCTTCTCAGCTCTTTTAGATGATAAATAGTAGCTTCTTTTTTTTTTTTTGAATTGCAAGGTGATATAAGAGATTACCAACAAATATTTCTAGGTTTCCACCTCTGTAAATTATTCCATCTTATTTCCTAATTATTCCAGCTTACTTCCTAATTAATACATGTGCTATGAATACTCATACAAAATTTTGATAACTGGTTATTGATACTTCAAATTTCTTTAGTTCTTTTATATAAGAATGACCAAGTTAATGACAGTCTGATACAGTTAATGACAGAAACAGGGAGAAGACAGACTCATACTAAAATCATTGATAACATCACTATAAAGTACTACATTGAGATGTGGATTGCTTTTTGATCTCTGATTTGCATTATTTGGTAGCTCTGGCAGAAGTCTTGGCAGCAGTTACCAGTCTCCTAAAGAAACATGAGTGGGGTTTGCAGATTAAGAAAATTCAGAAATTCTTGCTTGCCACACATGGAATTAATCTGGAGATGTTCAGTGTCAGCAAAGGCTACAAGGACATCCTGACATTTTTGGAAAACCAGATACCTAACCTAAACATCAAATATCCAGAGAAGGCTCGCAGATGTGTTGTTCAACTTTCTGAAGGTACAGTGCAAAAATTTCAATTTTATATTTTGAAAGGGGGGCGGTTGAATATTTAATGTTGTAATAATTAGAAATGGCTCTGTACATTGTATAGGAACATGAGAACCCTGCTGGACCTGAATAAAAACTCTGATTAATTCAGAATCCTTTTTCCTACAGCATCCAAACAGAAGCTTCCAAAAACTATTCTAATGTTACCTGCCCTTCTCAGCTTTCCCACCCATTCCCCACATTTTGTCAAATTGGTATTGATAGGTTTAAACTGCATGCGTGCCTTTAATTTCTATCTCTACCTGCTTGAGATTATAGACAACTTGTTCTTAAAAGGCCTCTAGTCCAGTTGCCATCTTGTGGAGCTGGTTAATTCAAATCAGGTCATATTTATCCCAGGACCTCCCAACCTGAGCAGCTTTAGGAGTATGCGTGAAACACATGTCTCAGAGGTCTGCCAAATGTTCCTGGTAGACTGGGGCTCAGCAGAACTAAAACCAGAACATTTTGGTTTTCCAGATTATGGAAGAAAGGAAGTCTAGAGGGGTTTTATGGGGTGAGTAGGGCAAGGCTAGTATGCCTCACTCTTCTTCCTTTCCATGACTTGCGCATTGTCCTACCTGTTAATCTTCCCAGTGTGTTTCTTTCCCTACAACCCCTTGACCATTGCCTGTGTTCTTGGTTCAGGCATGGTACATACCAAACCAGCCAGCCTGCCCCCCTAACCATCCCAGTCCCCTTTTTTTCCTGCATCCCCATAAGCCATCACTGATACCCTCAACTGCAGTGCAGCCTATCCAACTGGCTATCTACCTCTCCCTCCAATCTTCCTATTGCCTTTTTCTTCCATTTCCCCTTAGTTGCTGCATGCCCGTACTGCCAATGTCCTTGACAGTTTCCCACTTCCTTGCCCCCCCCCCCATCTATTTGCAGAACCCAGGTGTTTTGGACTGGATACAAACCACCTGAAAGTAACTGTTCTGTGCTCAGAATTGTTTGTGCATGAAGCATTTTGTACATCTTTAGGAAACTTCCAGATGTGGCCATTCGGGGAGGGGTGTGTGAATTCATGTATTTGGAAGATGCCCAGATTGGAAAACACTGACCTTCCTGTTGTCAACGGTGGCTGATGGGATTGCCAGAGCAGTGACTACTTATCAGAAATCATGGCAGTTCTTTTTGCCTCCCTGATCAAAATATTTTGGAGCAAGATAGAAAACTGTCTGTTTCTCAAAATATTAAATACTGTAACATTTAGAGGGGCGTTACTTATTTTATTCTGAAGGTCCTGCTCAGTAAGGTGTATATTTATTTATAAGTGTGAGCCTTTTTCCTTTGTTGCAATAATTATTACTGCAGTAGAAGAGCAAAACATTTTCCTCTACCTTCTTTTTTATACCTGCTATCCTACAAGCTCAGTTTGCCTCTTGTCTTACAGCAACTCACCTTATTCTGGAAAGAAAGTTTTGTATTATGATTACACAGGAGCAATTTCTCAAGGGTTAATTGGGACTACGTTCCAGGGAACACAGCAGTATGGCTTGATGTAGTTGGTCTTCTCTAGTCTTATAAGAATCTCAGAAGGGATGGGAATGGAATACATTTAAGAGTTGGCACAATTTCAGGTTTATTGTGAATTTCATTTTACTTTCTCTTGTGCCAATTTCTGCATGAGATGAAAGGCTTGAAATCACCCTTGCCTGAATTCCTTGGGGTCCATGATAGCATTTACAACATCCCTTCAACAAGATTCCTGTTAAGAGGAACCCTCCAAATTCTTATCCTTCTGGAGTTGCTTTCCAAATTACTGTGATTGACACAGTACTGTATGGAGCTAATCTGAATGTCAGATGCTTTACTCCTTTGGTTTGATTTTGTTCTCTTCCAGTAGCTATGTCTATACTTTCTCCTTCTTTCAGGCCTCAGAATCTCACAAAAACATCAGTGAGGCAGGTTCCCAATAAAACAGTGAGAGGCTTTTGAGGAATGAACATATCTGTGCCTTGTGATGAAATGGTGACTCTGTTTATTTAGATCCTAGCCAAGGGTTGATTCTGTGGGCATTGTCTCAAAACCTTTTCTAATCTACTTCCTGAAGCTGGTTGAAAAAGTAACAACTCTTTCCACTCCAGAAACTGCATATTTGGCCTTTTGGTTATTGTGCTATGTGCCACCTCCCCAAAATGTATTGAGTAAAGCCAGGAGCAAAATTTCATTTGATTTCATCCATTTTCATTATCTTTAAATATAGTTAATATGGCTATTTTCAAGTTCCACACTGAATAATTTCACCTTTCTGTCACATTTAAAATTATAATTTAATAGCAACTTTTGGAGATTTCTAGGAGCCACTGATGTAATATTGATTCATTTCTAGCAAGACTTTGCTACAGAATCCAGTGCTGGGTACCATAACATGAGAACTGAAGTCATTATATTCATTTGCAGACTTAACAGTTGCTTCGGTGCCAATTTGTGGCATCCTCCAAATATATCCTAATGGCTTGAAGGTGAAGAAGCTAAAAGAGGCAGTAAAGAAGAAATGTGGATATGACCTGGAGGTGTTTTGCTCTCAGCTTGGCTATGAGGACATGGTTTCCTGCCTGCAGAAGATTCCTAAACTGATAATAAACAAAAGCAAAAAAGCAGATTGTGTTGTTCGACTTGAGTCAGGTAAGGAAATGTGGTGGATGGGCAAACAGATGTTTGGGTCAATGAATATGGAGTGGCTTTGGGGAATATAAAACAGCGTGGCTATGCCAAGCGAGGTAGTTTGGGCAGGAAACAGCAGCAATAAAGTAGAGGGGGATGTGGAGGGGGATGTGCTAGTGATAAAATGAAATTTAGCTGATGTAGCTAATATTTCAACAGTCCTGCATGCCTAATTTCACTTTCTGAAGCTCCTGCTTTCAGCCTAAGATCAGAAGTGATAATATGCTTCCAGAATTTCTGTCCTAAAATGGGCAGAATGTTATCTCATTCTGGACTTAAAAATGTTTTAGCCCTTTTTGCCTAGGCAGTGGTTCCTGCATATCTCCATCAAGGTTATCTTCCTTATCCTCTACAGTTGATCACCGTAAATCCTACCATTCAAGATGTACAAGTCAAGTTGGTTGGCTAGTTTGGTCAGGCAATCACCTGCAAAATTACTGGTTGTGTCTTTAGTGAGGAATGTGGAGAGAGGATAGCCTTCACTGGCCTTCTTAGTATAGTCTTAGAAATGGGCATATAGAGTTTGGTCATCTGGGCCCCTTTCTGCCTTAAAGTTGTCCCCAACTAAAGTATAGGTTTGTGGGTGAAGGTCTGTACATTTCTTAATAGAAATTGCAACTTTGTCCCAGAAATATTTGCTTTGCTTATGGGAGTGAAGTGAGGCTAAATAAACATTCATCAACAGCATTTTAGTCTGGTTAAAATTGTAATAAAATTGCTGTCCTTGATGAGCAAAAAAGGGAAGAGGAGTAACATCTGTAAACATGTAGAAATCAAGATGGTCAAACTTCTTTTGGCTCTGCCTCTCCTTTCACTTGGAATAGTTTTGATAAGACTGTCTTCAGCTGCTTGCTTATGCTTAAACTCATACTGCTTATCAGGTTGTCTCTCAGAATCATATTTTCTCAAGAGCAAGCATAGAGAGGGATAACTAACCACAGGCACCTTAGTCGTAGTATTATACAGACCAGTAGGAGCATGATCAAGCAGAAGTACTGCCTTTTCATTTCGGAAGATTTGAATAGGTAAGATTTGAAAATCAGCAAGATATGACTTCATTTTAAGAAGCTTATGATACTTCATAGCTTGCTTAAATGTCAAGTAAGATTAATAAGCTTCCAGACTCACTTGCCAGCCACTCAGTGGCACAGAGGTCTATCTGCTGGAGCTCACAGTGTAGAAGTTGGCACAGAGGAATGAAGGTTGCTCTTTTTCTGACCCAGCAGCTGAAATTTAAGCTGTTCATTAACGTAACGTAGTCAGATTTGGATGCAGGAAGCGAGTGTGCTTCAGAGTTTTATGATGGGCAAAAACAAGACAATTTTTCTCTGCTATAGTGGAAATTTCAGCTTGGATACCGCTGCCAACTGTAACAAATTTATTAATCCAAGATTGCTTGGGTCTCTTTCCCAGAGAGTGTTGTTTATTGAAATCTAACTCATGAGCTTCAATAAAGGCAGAAAGTCTTTTGGTACAACCAAAAGCTTCATAGTTATTCTTCAATAAGTCCAGACTTTCATTAATAGAAGCTAACTGCTCAAAAAGTGAAATAACGGGGTTGTAAGAAGATGTTGCTTAGGTATAAATTTAGTTGAGCTGCCCTGCAAGAATATCTTCTCCCAGTCCTCCTCCTATCCGTAGTCATTGCCTTGTCATCTGTGGATGAATGAAATGAGTTGGAAAGAGGGCCAGATGGAGGCTGGGAAGGGATTAGACCACTTAGAATATCCTTCAGGGAAACTGAGAGCTCTAACAGCTGCTATTTTTATATTTCTGTTTGAAAATCCCATTCAGGCACCTCAGATTTGTTGGAGGTTGTGGTGTAAGTAGGAACTGATTTATTTACAGCTTCTGTGGGCAGAAGGAACTCCTAAATTTGTAGCTGTTTGGATGATTGCAGCCTTCTGTGCTTTCATATAGGCCGCAATTAATGGCCAATGGCAGACCGCACATAAAAGTTGGTGTTAACCAATCACCATCTTGTCCCCAACCCAATAAATCATCAGAGATTCACCAGGTATTTGGAAGTTTTAAATTTACTAGACGTGACACCACTGACTTTGCATACCTTGCTTAGCCCTTCTTACATACTGCAATGATATCTCCATGATTCTTAGGCTCTTGGTTAGAACCCAAATTATTTTTAAAAATGCCCAGTTTAAACACTGTGGTATTTGTGGTGTGATTAGATAATATTGATTATTGATATTAATAATTAATATAATTATCGGTTTGTTGCCACAGTGAAAGGCAAAACACAGCTGAATTCCTTCTTCAGAAGGAAATGTTCCCAGAAATTGCTGTTTCCGTTGCTACAGCTTAAAATATCTTAGTTGATTAAAGAATTTGCCTATTATGCTTTTTTTGCATTCTTGACTCATTTCCCTTCTGTTGTATTTAAAATTTAATGTTGCTTCTCTTTCCTTTAACCATCTCAAGACTTTCTGTAACAGTGTCTTTATTTAAACTGTCCTAAACTTGTTTTAATTTTTCCTGTCTGATAGGTTCCTCCACTCCTGCTTCCTCTCTGGATGGTGATTTTTCTGATAACAGTGCAAGCACTCTCTCCAAGAAGCTGGTGATGAAGAAGACTGGTAAGGTTGCTTGAGATATTGGTACTATTTGGGATGTAGGCCATCTGTGGTTTGTCATCTTCCTGCACTGCAGTTCCCCTTGGTTCTTTCCTTGTTATCTGCTAGCTGGGTTTTACCTTATGTCCATGTCTATTTTATGTAAATGTCAAGTAAGAATGTGTAAAATGTTTCAAAGTTGAAATGTTTCAAGTTTGAAATAGGTTGTTCCAACCATACCAGAAATGCTATCTGGGTATCCTCAATGTGTTATAAGCTCAAAACATCCAGGTTAATCAGAATAACATTGGTATACTTCTGATAAGGTCAAAACAACTGTTTGAAATTCAAAAACTCCCAAAAGTTTGACCTTGAAACTTTTCAAATTTGAAATCAGTACATCAAAGTATCCTTAGGGTGAGCTTGGTTCACAAAGTATTGTTCTTAGGTTATGGCTGAGTCTGTTCTGAGAACTTGAAACTATAGGTGCACCTATTGCTAGGTGAGGAGAAAAACTTTGAGTCCATTGCTCCAAAGGTACTAAAGAAAAGCTGAAAACAAAGTCAGAAGCCCTTTGTTACAGAGTAATCAGGTGAGGGACTGGAAGATGGTAGACGCTTGTAATGTGCAAAACATTCTGTGCCCAAACAGGAGGTTCTGGCAATCCTTGCCCAGAGTGAGACATCTGTTTGGTCCAGGCATAGGCCTACTGTACATGTATTCTGGATAGAGGTATTGGTGGGGAGAACAGGGTAGAGAATATAATCAAAGGAGGCAGTGTGCAGCTATGGGGAGGTAATGGAAGGGGGGGTGGCATGAAAAAGAAAGAGGGAAGAGGGGCACCAGCCTTGCCTTGATGTTCCATAATGCCTCTCCAGATGAATCAAGGGTAAAGAAATTGACATAGTCTAGCTTTTATTTCAATTAGATTGCAACCTACTCAGAACAGTTTGGCTGAATTTCTGAGCCACAATGTGTTTATCCCATAGGTGGAACAAAACAAAATATTTTTCATTTCATGCACAACTCAGCTATCCCAACTGATAGTCCAACTATCAGGGAACAAAAATCTAATTTTTGATTTTTATAAGCCTTGCCTATTGGAGAAATTGAAAAGAACAAACCAATACAGCACATGATCCACCTTCTGAAAGGAGAAAAATAGTATTCTGGCACAGTTAAGCGATACTTTTGATAAAAGTTTTTGAAGAAATTAAGAAAAATCACCCAGCAGCCTTTCATAATTTGCTCCTATGGTTGGTTTGTTGCCTTTATTTCATAAAGCTTACAAATGGAAGCTCCATTCTTATTTTTAGTGTCTAAGTTTGTTACGGCAGAACATTAAAAAACAAGCACATCTTAAATGTTGATTACTGTAGTTAAGTGTGGGGACATGGGGTGGCTGAAAAATTAATACAGCAACAAAAAACTTTGAAATGAGGGACAAATTCAGTGAAATTTGATAAATATTCTTCAGCTATATTGGTATGTTTATAACAAATTTATTCTTGCCTGTACAATTATAATTTTGGATTGAAATATTGAATGGTTACATTTCTGTTTAAGGCCGCACATTGTAGAGAGCAAGGCAAGTTCCGTTGCCTTGGCAAAAGGGGCTGAAGCATTTTTTAAGTCTAGGATGTCCGGATAACATTCAGAAGTGGGTCAGACAGATACCTCCCTAATTCATTAAACAATAAGAAGAAGAAAGAGGTACAGCACAATCAGACTTGTAAAGACCTCTGCTGCCAATTGGAATGAACCGTGTAGAGTCAAATGGAGAAGTATCAGCCATTAAGTCTTTTTCTTGATTACAGCAAGTTTCATGAGATAATAAATTCTTCCTTGGTTCCCTTAAAGGGTCTCCTTGGCCTTCAGCCTTTGTAGCAGAGATAGAAAATAACCTTCCTTAGCTTTGTCTCTCTCATCAAATGAAAAGTTAGCAGAATTCTTTCCAGACTGAACTGTGCTTTTTTTCTAGATCTGACAGCTGCTTTGGTGCCAGTCCTAGATGTTCTCAGTGGATATCCCTGTGGTATGAATCTGAGTACCCTGAAGGAAAAGTTGGAAAAGAAGCATGGATTTGACTTGGAGGCTTTCAGCCAAAAAGCAGGCTGCAATGATGTGATAACATGTTTGTTGACTCTGCCAGGACTTCATTTGTCTTTCTGGAATGGGGAGCAACCCCACGAGTGTATCATTATGCTTCTTTCAAGTGGCCATGCTGTTCCTCACTTGCCACATAGTTCTGAAATCTTTTTGGATAAACACCATTCATCCAATGGATCAAACCTTTCTCAAGAGCTGGTGGAAACAAAGCCAAGTGATAGTAGGTTTTTTATGATAGTAACGTGGTTTTGCTTTAAACATTGAGAATATCAGATCCCTAGGGATGTTTAATATTCAAACTTCAAATAGCCTTATTGTACCCTACAATATGCCATAGTTGTTATGATCACTAGAGGTTTTCTGTTTCTTGTCAGCACTGTGCATTAATTAAGACTGGATCAATATCAGTCATGAGGCTAAATACTTGCCATCACATAAAAACAGATTTATCTCTTTCAAAGGGGAGATTTTAAGTCTACTCAACTAATTGGTATGTGCCAAATTGGATTTTATTAATGAGACAAATACATATAGAGGTTTTCAAATTTAGTGCTATGAAGCTTGAAATTCAGAATCCAAGAAGCTACATGTTGCCTTATAATCACTACTTTTTATTCTGAAGTAGACCCCTCATATGCTGTCCTGTAATCATTGTGAGGTAGTGGTGTGAATTTCTTGTTTTGTACATTCCAGAAATGTGCCTCTTACCTAGGAAGCTCTGATGTAGTTCTTTCTGGTTTCTCTCATGTGTTTCCCTGCTTTGGTGCTTTTCCAGCTTCCTGTAGCTATGTTCTGTCAATTATTTTCAATTATTTTCTGTCACGTTCAGTCCATACTAATCCAATCTACTGGCAAAGCAGCATCACTGAACAGAAATGGATTGGAAAAGAATCCAAATAAGATAGCAGTTTTGACTTAGGATTCTGACTAACAATTCCTGGCACAGAAAAGTAATTTTCAATGTAGGCAAAATATTTTTTTCTATTAGATTTTACCTTTGATTAAGCTGTGTCAAAACTATGTGAAGATTCTCTCTAAAATCCACTTAAATGCCTTTTACTTCCATGTCACATCTAAATGTGTAAATTAGATTCTAGGTTTTATTTGTTTAAAATACATTATTCTAATTTAGCCTCAGTAACCTACCATTCACTGGGACAATTAACTCATCCCTGACCCTCCTTCCCCTATAAAAAGCATACAAATTTTGGTTTTCTTCTTTTGTGTTTGAGTAAAGACAACAAATTAGAAAAGATAAGAGTTATAATATTTAGAATAATAGAAAGTCTTTATTCAGGTTATCAGAACAACTGGGAAGTACAGCTTCAGAGAGCTAATCCAAAGACAGTAGGTTCAACCTGCTTATAGGAACAACTTGGACTCACTGTGATGTCACAGAAGAAAAGGCAGTAGTGTCAAGAGATAAATGCTAGAAGTAAGAGAAGAAGTGAGGGAGATGGAGAATGCACAAGAAGGATAACATGTACATTCAAGTGTTTTTGCTTATATGCTATTGTGTAAGTGTGAGATTAATATTTTTAAATAATGCAATAAAAGTGTATTGGAATAGTACAGATAAGAACTATACAAACCAAACCTGTGTCATCAAACAGTGGCTGGGTTTTCTCATTGTGTTAAGCTGTAAACCATAATTTACAAACTACTCCACTGGATTTACACATCATGCTAAAATGAAATTAAGCAAGCCAGACTTCAGTTTAGCTTAAGATGCAAATCCAGCCAGATTCTGGAGAAGAGGTATAAGTAAAGCTTATTACTTCATTACTACCAGTTTCTGAAATATAGACGCAAAGTAGATAAGATGTCCTTCTGGAGATATGGTCCCTCTACCTGAAAAAGCTGTTGACCTAATAATGATATTAACGTTCAGATAATCAAACCTGTATCAAATTTACTCCAAAATCTTGCAATTTATAGTAGGAGAGCTATAATATTAGAATGATGTATGGAAGAATATGAGCTAATTCAGTGTGCTGGTTAAAGGTGCTGGATTAGAAACAAGGAAATTCAAGTTCTAGCCCTCACTTAGGCAGAAAGACAGCTGGGTGACTTTGGGCCAGTCATTCACTCTTAGCCCTTGGAAGAAGGCAATGGCAAACCATTTCTGAAAATGTTGCCAAGAAAACTTCATGGACTTGTCTATGTAGTCACCAGCAATCAAGGTTGACTTCAACAGTAGCAGAGAGGAACATGTATCCGTCAATCATCCTTTGTGTCCTGGTGAGCACGAGGCCTAGCAATATCTCCCTTAAAAAAAAACAAACCTGAAAATCTAGGCTCTGGGACAGTGTCCTTATTATAATGCATAATAGATCAGTTTTCCAGTGTGACTGAGGCTATGCAGTTGTTGTTTTTTGGCCAGATTTTGTTTCTTTGACCTGAATTTTCTCACACTTTCCTCTATTTTTTTTTACTATTTCAGCTTCCTTTAGCTACTCTTCATCCCAGTTCAACCATTCTCTCTCTTTTGAGTCAGAACACTCTGCCTGCACATCAAAAAATTCAAATCAAGATGAATCAGAAAAAAAGCCTGGTAAGTTTTTATTTGATTCTGAAATATTGGGAACAATGGGAACCAGGCTTAGAGGGTCAGGCAGCGTTAGACCAAGTGGTATATTTTTGTCAAAACAGATCTTTAATACCATTATGAGAAGCCCTCTTGACAATCAGATACTTCAGCTTTTTCTACATCTGGTTATAATTGTTACTGCATATGATTACTCTCTCAGTTCAGTCCTGTTCATATTCCTTCATATAATGAATATGGTTTACTTAAAAGAAAGCTTGCATAGAACTTCGTGTTTCTAGTGTAGAACAGGCTGATGTAACTCTATATCTGTTTTTTTTTTCCAGGTAGAGTAGAACAGCTTTCCCTATTCTGGTATCTTAAGATGTGTTGGAATTGGAATTTCAGAATTCTCAGCTAGCATGTTTCAAAGAGATTTCTGGGAGTTGTAGTCACAAACATATCTAGAGGGCACCAATTTGAACTTTGCTTGGTCAGATCAACAGCCTATCTAGTTCACCATCCTCTTTGCTACATTAGAACCAATTGGCTTAAGTATTCCATACATGGAATAGGAGGACAATAGACTTCTCTTGCTGCTATTCCCCAACAGTTGCTAGTTCTGTCCCATTCTGAAGGCTCCATATTGCCATTTTAGTGTGTGGCTCTTGATAGGTGACTGTTCCTGAATGTGTCTAATCTTATTTTAAAGCTGACCCTCACCACTTCATTTAGAACAATTTATAGTTAAATTGTGGAGTTCCTGTTCTGCCCAGTTTTCTGCTGCACCTATATCAGTGTGATGCAGTCTTGCTGATCACCCTTTTTTTATACTAGCTTGGATGAGGATATTTGTACATGAATATTCCAAGATAATTCTGTTTATTAGAAAAGCATGAAGGAAAGATACCTGTGCAACTCTGCTTGAAAATGGAAAGATCAACATTGATTAAAACAGCCCACCCCAATCTAGTATCAAATCAGTTTATTAATCTAAAAATTCTAATGTAACTATTGATAATCCTAGCTGGGGATGGTAGGACCTGTAGTCCAACCCTCCTGGAGGGTTCCAGATTGGGAAAAACTAGATTAAAAATGTTTTTAAGAAAGCTTAGAAATTAGTGTATAACTGCTTTGTATTTAACAACAATCTTTTTCAGGAAGCTGATAAAGCTGTGTAAAATTAAAACATTAATACATTTTAAAAATATCTTTTGAACATCTTGGGAAAAAAATTATAAAATTTATACATCAATGCTGGTGATTAATTCTGTAATAGCAAAATAATTTGGCCTTTTCCTTACTGCTTATTCCCCCAAAAGGTGGAACACAAACAGTGCTAAAACAGGAATCCTGGCATGATAAACCACACTATAAATAAGCTGTTCTGAACAAATAATCAAGTTATTCTCTAGTTCTCTCTATGTATGGGTGGATACATAAAAAATGGGATTCATTCACTTTCAAGCAGTGAACCATTGGTTATGGTTTAAGTGTGTCTGCATAGGTTGTTTTTATTTATTGCACTAAGCCACAGTTTGTTTTGACCATAGTTTTCAAACACACTCAATGAACTAGTTCACACATAATACTATGCCGTACAAATCACAAAGATTTGCATATTATACTAAGCTAAAACCAAGCAAATCACACTATGGCTTAATACAGTGTGTAAATCTAATCACAAGCTTAGATCTATATAAATTGGCTTTAAATTATGGTTGTTGATTTGAGTCTAATTTGCTTTGGTATTCTTGGCCATAATACCTTGTTACGCACATTACAGAAAGGTATTGCGTGCCTGTTTAGTTCAGTCAATGTTAAGTTCAGTGCAAGCAAACATGTACATTTATCATTAAGACGGGATTCATAACTCTTTTTGTTATGTGCGAATATAGCCATTGTGGTATTGTTGGATTGGCTTGATGCATTAGTTTGCCCTCCATAGCTTTCATGAGCTTTATGTTTGTCTATACATTTTCCCTCCTTTTCAACAGCACTGAGAGGAGTCATGGCATCGCTCACTGCCCTCTTAACCCAGTATAAGAGTGGCCTAAGAGTTAAGAAAGTGCAAGAATTCTTGCTGGCGGTAGAAGGAATTGATCTTGAGAAGTTCAGCATTGCCCAAGGCCACAAAGACACAGTGGAATTTTTGGAGCAACAGATGCCTAAACTGAAGTTGAAATACCGACAGGACAGAATTAATAGTGTTGTTGAACTTAAATCAGGTGATGTTTGGAAGAGGAAGGGCTAACTGCTAGGTTCCATTTTCCTATTACTAATTTAGGCTTACAGAGTGGGTAGTAGTTTTGGTTCAAAAATACTTCACTGAGCTGGATGGAATCAATATTAGTTTCCATGTCTTTTTGCTGTAACAAGTAAAATTAAAGCAGGGGTTGAAAATAAGGTGCCTTCTTGACCCTATTGTCTTGCAAAAACAAAGCTTAAAAAGCACCAGATTCTCTTTAGAGTTGGTGCCCACTGAACCTGACAAAAGGCACCAGATTAAAATCTGTCTCTCTTTGCGTTAGAAATACTTTTATAACCTGGTCCTTTGTTTGTCTTAAAAAAAAAAAAAACATAAAAAACCTTCTGCCAAATACTTTTGTTCTGTCAACCTGTTTTTTTCTTTCATCTGAAAAAGTTGCAAGGGGATCATTAAGCTTATTTCTCTCTGGTAAAGATCATCCACAAATAACTTAAAATTCTAACCACAGTATTGGCTTCCCTTAATGTGGATGTTTTTCTCTGCTTTGTCTAATTTAGGAAAAAAGAAAAAGAAGAGGCCTTGTACAGTTAATCCAGTGAACACACGTAAGTTGACAATTGGAAATGTATGTTGTGTGCGTGATTGCATCGTATCCAACATTGGCAGTTTCCCAGGCTAGCCTGGATAGACCTATCATCCCTAGGTGATGGTTATTGGCATCCCTCCTTGGGGGAGGGGAGCTTTGTTTGTATAACACACACAGAGTCTTTGGATTGGGGAGTGCTATTAAAAAAAAAAGCCAGTTTGGTATAGTAATTAAGATGCTGAGCTAGAAACCAGGAGATCATGAATTGTAATCCTCCCTTAAGCGTGGAAACTGGCCAGTCACTTTCTCTCAGCCCAGCCTACTTCTCAGGGTTGTGGAGCAAGTAAGAGGCAGCATTTTGTATGCCACCTTGAGTTGTAAAAAATAAAGGCGAGATATAAATCTAATAAATCTGTTTTGTGCTCCCCACTTTCTTTCCTCTCCATCGGATGGTAAAAGAAAGCTATCACAGATTTTTATCACATCAAAATGCTATAATCTACAATGACTCAGAGATCAGCCCTGAAGGGAATCATCTGCCATTTATCAGTCTTGGCTAGTAAGTGTGCATCAGGGAAAGTTGCACACATTTAGAAAAGACCCATAAGTTAGGGAGAATTTTATAGGGGAAAAAGTAGTATAGTGGGGCACTTGCTTAGAAAATGGAGGGTTGTCATGAAAGTTGTATAGAAAAATGCAGAAAGTATTGGGGAAAATGTGTACAAAACAAAACCTGCCGCTAGTGTATGCTTGTACTTTCTTGATAGCTATTTATGATTCCTTTCTGCATGATACTCCATTCTTGGATTCTGTTCTATCAATGGGCGTTAATCTGTAATTGTTAGCATATTTGTTTTCTATATTGCTCTTCCTTTTTAAAAAAATCTCACTTTTGAGATCCATACAACAATAAAGGTCAATACCTGATTTCAGATGTGTAAGTAGTAAGCTGTGGCTTATTGTAATTGGATCATAATTGTGATTGGCTCAATTTCTCCTCCTCCAATAAGTCGTCTTGTTAACTTTGCCCCTCTTTTGCTAGATGCTCCCATTCCACTTCTGGAATCCACAGGAACAGCTGATCCACTAAACTCTGCACCAGGTAAACCTCTAAACTGATTCCTCCATACTATAACTAAGGTACAGGTGGTTTTCAGCAAGACCTACGTTAAGCCAGGTGGAAGGAATATTTTTTTGCACCAACTTGGAATTATGAGGACATGCCATGAACAGTCTTGCAAAATTCTGCCGTTGCAGTCATGTCCGTTCAAAAGACACCTACCAAGAGGGGCAAACTGGTGAGATTGTTCTGTACTCTCCCCACTTAGTATGCTCTCGATCATTCCCAGTCTAATTTATTCTTGTTGTCTCTGTAGATCACAAGGTATTGAACTGCAGCCACACCCAATTTTTATTTTATAAGAATGTTTGGGCATAATTTATAATAATGAAAAGAATGGGCTAGAAATGTTACGAAGTGATTATTCTCATGAACAAAGGCAGTGTGCAGGCTGGCACTTTGCAGCATGTAAGCTTCTCTAGGGTTTTTTTTCCCCCTAATTAAAAAAAAGAAGAAGCTAAAGAGGTAGGACATTGCATACTTATCCCTAATTAAGCTATTTGGAAATAGTTTGTATTGATAGCCAAATCAGCAAATTTTCAAGACAATTTGCAAAGTCACATTATTTAATGTAGCTGGAGAATCTGCCAGAAGTCTGCATGGTTTTCTGGGAGCCGCAGAATGATTTTACTTTTCCTGAGCCTTCGGGAGGTGGATCATATTCAGTTTCTTAATATTCTAGTAGTGGAATATTAATTCTAGTAGGAGAGAGACATGTGATGTAGCGGTTTAAGGCATGGGACTAGGGGTGGGGAGACTGAGTTCTACACCTTCCTTAGGCATGAAAGCCGGCCGTGTGACTTTGGGCTAATCACTTTCTATCGGTTCTAGAAAGCAAGTACTAGTAAGCCCCTTCTGAAATGTTGCCAAGTAACTTCATGGACTTGTCCATCTATTTACCAGGAGTCAAGATTGACTCAAAGAACCATAACAACAGGCCAACTGCTGTTTGCAAGCTATATAGCATCTTTTATATTATTTTAGCCTGTAAATACTGTATGTTGCCTTGACCTCCTGTGAGTTGTTCTCTGCAACCTGGAGGGCATCAAGTGTCCTGCCCCTGGAGTGGTAATACACTTGTGGCTCTTGAGATATTGTTGGAGTATAGTCTCCATCATCCTTTGCTAGGACTTGAAATCCAGTAATGGGCCTCAGGTTACTCATTGGCCTACCTTATATCAAGCTTAATAGTTTGGTATTTTGAGTGGACATATTTATAGAATAACTCAATTTTTGTAACTGGAAAGTTTTTCAACTAACTGTTACTAATTAGGTCTCTGGTCAAAGTGCGACTGTGGCTGTTCACTCATTAACAATAAGAGTACACTGTCTTTGTGTAATCTTCATATTTGTTCAGCTAGAAAAATAGCTTTTTCTTGTGGACATTGGAGTGGGTAGGGATCAATCTGACCTTTGCACAGTTATAGCTGACCTTTATAGGAAAAAAAATAGAGGGCAAAAAATGAAGAAATAGACAGAAAATATATTTTTCAGGAGGCCCCATATGCAAATGTTTTAGTGGCTTATATGTATTTCTTTGCTTGAATTTATCTTAGGAAAAGATGATAGCCAAAACTCTTGAATATTGCTGTGGTCTATGCTATCCAGCAGTAGCTCTTTTAAAGTTCAGGCAGAGTTCTTTCCCTATCCTACGTTGGTTCTTGATTTTGAGATCTCCTGCAGGCTGACTATATGCATTAAAATGGAGGGGTGGTAGTGTGGGTTATAGTCCCAAATAACTGGGAAATGCCAGGCTGCCTATCCTTAGTCTAAGTAATAGCACAGGTGGAGAAGCTGTCCTCTCGAGCTGTTTTTGGATTACAGGCTCCATTAACAGTAACTGCAGCCATGCTGGCTGAAGCTGTTGAAAACTGAAATTGAACAAAGTGAGGGGATTCATAAGTCCCCCATACCTTCTCTTTGGTTCAGATTATTTCCATTTGCAATGTCCTTGTTATTTGTTCAGTTTTCTTGGGGGAGGGGGTTGAATTTTTTTTTTTTTTTTTGGTGTGATATTTGAGTGATTTGGCTTATGTGCAACCTGCAATTGCAATCACTCATTACAATTTCCAGGCCCAATGTAAAAGTTGGCATTGATCATTAAAAACTTTCCTCTTCCTTTTGAACCTACCTGTGTGATGAACTCTACCTTGGTTCTGCTTCATATGTCCTCACCATGAGAAGTAGTGGTCTACTTCTCTCGACTGTAACACTGAAGCTGTACAGTTTAATCTCTTAAGAAGGAGATACACAAAAGTTTCTGTTGAACTTGTCTGTGTTGTGCTGATCTCAGATTGTTGCTAACTGTGCTGATACAGCCTCTTTTTAAAAGTAGCTTTTTGTCTCTTGTTCTCCCTCTTAGAGACTTAAAATAATAGACAAATTACTGGTATGTTACATAAGTGAATGTTCTCTTTCAGTTATCTCTTCAATAATGGTGCACAACTTCTTTCCTAGGCTTAGAAGACATCTCTAAACCTGCTTTGGCTATCAGTGATCCCTCTGCAAGTGACTCTCAGCATCAAAGCCTACCTGCTCCAATTGCTGTAGTGCACCCTGAAGTAAACAACTTGTTTCACACCAACAAGCCTGTTCCATCTGCCACCACACCAAATGTCTCATTATTTCAGGAGCCCAACAATGCTTTATCAGTCAAAGCCAAGAGAACCTCTCTTTCCCCTTCCAGTGTTCTGCCAGATCACCCAAACACATACCAGTTTGTTGCAGAATCACTCACTGAAGAGATACCCAGCAATTCACATTTAACCACTTTCCAACCTTCTGTTGTCCTGGATGAACTGAAGCAGCAAGTGGCCCACATTCTGGCCATGCATCCAGAGGGTATGTCTCTCTTCCAGTTCCGTGCTGCCTACAGTGCTACCTTTGAGAAGCACTTCCCAGTGGGGGACGCTGCTTCTGCCAAGCAACGTCTACTTGAGATGCCAGACATTGTTTATCTGAAGGGCCATGGTGTTCAGGTGTTGCTGTTGCCTGTATCCTCTGACATCTCACCTGTAAAATCAGGTATGTGCTATTACAGAATTTTTTTAGATTCATAATTTCACATTTCTTCTGCATTGTGTTTTTGAAACAGAAAAGTAGGTTCACTGTCCCAAATTCTCCTTCCATGCTTTCTACAAACCACATGTCCAAATTAAAACAACTTTCGAGCTTGCATTGTTCCAACAAGCAAGAACACTTCATCTTCATCAGGCACAACCATTATAAATCCTAAGCACATAGGATAAAGAAGAGTTAAATGAGGTTGTTGCTTCTGCCTGCCTTGAGCTCTTTTAGATTTGAGTATTAGAAACTGACCCCCACCCCCATCCCCAGTATCCTTACCGTTTGAGGGAAAGAAATAGTCCCACTCTTCTGAAGTGGGAAGGCAAGACTAAGGACAAGTTTGGGAGAATGGGAATAGAGGGGTATAGAAGGACACAGACATGTTTTATCTTTTGTTATGTTTGGGTTCAGGGAGGGCATGACATGAAGGAAAATGCAAGATTGTGCAGAACTTTTTCCTTCTCATCAAACTGGTTATTCAACTTGTGAATGGCCATTGAGCCCTCAGAACCCCTTTGGGCCATGATTGCTGAAAACTGCTAGCAACTTCCTGATATTTTGCAGTGGGAAACATATGAGACTGTTGTGTAAACCCTAAAATAGCATATGGCAATTTTTTAAAACAATCCCTAAAATTGTCCCCCAGCCAGCCCACACATCTATATGTGCGATGCAACCCGTCTTATCTTAATGTTGGGTTCTGCTGTAGACCAGATGAAGGCCAATAAAGAGCCAGCAAAAGCAATGTAAAGTTGATGTGTAAGCATAATCATTCATTGCTCAGAGATGTGGCAAAATTCCCTTGGTACAGTTTTATCATAAGTTTCACATTCTTTTATAGCCTTTTGCCCAGGTGAGTATGAAGCCTGAAGTTCTTGGCCAAGATCCCATAAAGTGCTCTGCTCCCTGGCCTTCAGTGGCTGGTCTGCTTCTAGCCACTCCTTTTGTCTACCTACTTTTCAGATAATTTTTTTTTTCCCCCCCAGGTCAGACTGCCTCTTCCAAAGTGGAGAACGTTACGGTGGTTTCTAGCCTTGCTTTGGTCAAACCTCTACCTCTGACTAAGTCTAATCTAAAAACCCTTCAATCCCATTCCATTTGGACACCACCTTTGGAATCCCTTGGAAAGTCAGGAGGGATGGATTCCTGCACCCCTAAGGACCTATCCCTAAGAGCGCCTTCAGCCCCATGGCAAGAACAAGAGAAGGCCAGAACAAGCTTCACAGACCTTTCAGATCAGCTTCATTTGTCAAAAATACAAGAGGTTCCAGTGTTCCCTGGCCACTCTTTGCCTAAAAGTGAACCTCCAGTAGTCCCACAATCTTACCCAAAGCCTGCTGTTCCCGAGGCTGTCATGATGCCTGTACCTAAGCCCCGTCGTTCCCTCTTGAAATCTTCTGCATCTGTCGGAGCACCAGAAAATAAAGGGAATAAGCCATGCCCTGAGCTTCATCCCCAGGATGTCCCAAGTTCAGTTAATACTGTGCAAAAAAACATGACCAATCTCAAGCTAACAAAGATCCACCTCACTCCGCATTCCTCTGCAGCTTTACCTATACATTCTCAAGACGCTGTATGTGATGAGAATTTGCAGCCAGGTATTCTTAAGTCCAGACCTGCATCTCTCGCTAATTCATGGATGTCTGACAACACTGTTCCGTCTCCTTCCAGTTTTGTAACATGGCAGGAGCCAGTAGATTGTTCTCCTACCCCGTTGTATCCAGGAAACTCAGTTCTATCAGTTGACCCAGCACCAGTTCCACCAGTTTCTGTGAATCTTTCTGGAATTCACCTTCCAAAGAATACATCACAGAGCTCCTATTGTGCCCAATCTATGCTTCCAGTTCAACCACTGTCTCCCATCCTGAGTACAGAACAAAGGAACTGTAATCACACTCTTGCCGAATTGGATCCCTTTTCTCAAGTACAGAAACAATCCACCGCCCTGCAGCATTCCTTGAGCTCAGTTCCTGACTCCTCTACAAAGAGGCATTCTGTTTCTTCATTGGCTACAAATTCAGCAAGCTTCTTTCCTTCCAGATCCCAACCAGATCACCAAGTACAACAGCATACCCATGCAAAGCTAGATGATCTGCAACCCATTTCTGTTTCTTTAGCAGATAAGAGCCCCATCAAAACTTCTTTGGGCACAGTATCTTCTGCAGCCATATATCAGAAAAAATCCGCTTATGTGAATCCTCTTGAAACCACCTCAACCAGAGAATCATTCAGTACCTGTTCTATCGATGAATCTCTGCAGTCTTTGCATGCTTTATCTGCAGTCACCAATAATTCCAGGGCTTTGTCGTCTGTATCCTCCTTAAGGACAAAAGCAGTAAGTCCAGCTTCTTCCCCATTAGAATCTACCAGCAACTCATCCGATCGGTTTGCCTATGCTTCTGCTAAGATCACCAGTGATTCCAGTTCTTTGTCTTCTGAGACTCATGCTTTCACTCAGCAGAGACAGTATGCCAGGGCAACTGCTACTGGAGTCTCAAACAGAAAAGCATCAAGCGCAACTTCTTCACTGCCAGAATCCACCACCAGTTCATCCCACCAGTTTGCATATGATTCCACCAGGATCACCACTCATTCCAGTGCTCTATCTTCTGAGGCTTATGCCTTCGCACATCAGAGACAGAACGTGCAGGCGAGTGCTCCTGTAATTGCCTCAAGCACAAAGACAGCCAGCTCCATTTCTTCTCTAGACTCTACCACCGACCTATCTGCCCAGTATGCCTGTGCTTCTGCTAAGACCACCAGTAGTTCCAATGTTTTGTCTTCTGAGGCATATGCTTTCACACATCAGAGACAATATAGCAGCGCAACTGCTTCAGCAGTCTCTTCAAGGACAAGATCAAGAAGCAGAACACCTTCCCCTTTAAAATATACCTCCTATCGTTCATCCAGTACTGGTTTCAATACTAGTTTAACCCATGCTCCTCCTAGTCAGAATAACTTCATATCCTCACTTTCTGAACAAGGGGACAGTTCTTCTGCCTCTCTGCAGGAAAAGGAAATGCCTTACTACTCTGTTCCCCAGAATAGTCCTTCCAAAAGCTATGATAAATGTTTCATCCTGTAATAGCTAGCCTTAAAGTGGTCCATATGAAAACATCTCCACGTGGAGACTTTTTTCAAGGAAAGGGATGAAGAATGACCTCTTGAATGTGCTGAACGAGTGCATTCAGAGTCTACCCTTGTGCTGAGCCAACCAGTGACCACTGTTAAGTGTCAAATTCAGAGAATTCTGTATGGTGCTTATATATTGCAGTCCAAAAAAGAATTGCAGTGATGGTCCCTGAACCATTTTATGTTGCAGTTTTTCCTAAGACTGCTGCCAATTCTGAAGGATAAAATAGGCATGGAGAAAGAGCATGTGAAGAGACAGAGAATTTAAATCTGAAGTTGACTAAGGTAGACTTGGTTGACTAGTGGGATCAGTATGCATATACTGTGCTGAAATAACAGGGTAGCGTGTTAAGAGTATCGTAATTAAACCACTTTTCACCCATAAAAAGAGCTGTCCCTACACACAGTGAAATAGCTACCTCAAATGGCACATAATACGGAGCTGCAGTTCAGTAATAGAGGAAAGAACGATGGCTGCTATTACAGCCATTTTAGTGCCCTCTAGCTTATTTGCTGGCTTTTGGTGTGATAGAGAACCATTCAACCAATGTCAGCTGATTCATTTTCTGCATGAGGAAT